GCTGTGGGTCACTTGGCGGTCGATGCGCGGGCTCTTACAATTAAAATGAAAGACTAATATTTCGCAGGCTTGTTGTTGACTTCATGATACAATATATTTTCACTATTACCAAGCCCTACTGTACATACATATTTGTTTTTTTTTTTTTTTAACAAAGGAATTAACATTAACGTTAACATTAGCACGTATGTATATGTACACATAACTCTTGCTTTGCGATGTATTCCGTACGAATTAACAGCAGAGGGCGCTCTCAGCACTGAGCAGCGCTGTTATGTGGGCATGTATGTTAGATTCTATAGGATTTTTAAAGTCCTGCAGTTCCATTTTTAGGAAGTATTTAAACTTTTTTTTTGCCTAAGACAATGAGAAGCCCATCCAGAACCTATAACTGAACTTTCACAAAAAAAAACGGTACATCCGATCTCGAGCTTTGCGAACAGAAAAAAAACGGCTTTCAAAATATATACTCTATACCAAATATTTCCTGAACTATGCAGTATGAAAAATCCCGTTTGTATGGGAGGTGGAGTAAGGATAACCAAATAAAAAGGCGAATAAATAATGTGTACAATTAAAAAATTGTAAAAAAGATTCAAAAACAAAAATGATTTTCAAGTATGCTCCGAAGAGAGGATTGGGTCTTGATACTAAATACTTACTTTTAGTACACAGTTCTGACTACTCGAACACCAGCTCCAACGCCAAACTGTCGTACTTTGTTTGCTCAGAGAACGTAAGCATTCACATTTTTTAGTTTTTCATATTCTATGTATTTATTCTACGATCTCTCCATTGCAGTTAATTCCCGATATAATTTCAAATTCAATGATTTCGTCTATCTATACTTTTATATATGTGAGAATTAATAATTCTGAATTTTTGTTAGAAACCAATAAAAAACGAATTAAAAAAGTTACGAAAATACTATGAAAGAAGAACAATACTATGAAAGCAAAACATAAAACCCCGTATTTTTAACGGACCATGTTTGTTTGTATACCCGTCGTTTTTCGCCAACGAAATATCTACTATTTGGGCGCATATTGTATTTATTCCCAACAAGTAATTTTTTGCAAAAAAAAAACGACTTAAAAAAAAATATATATATACATATATATCATGATCCAATGATCGCATCTAAACCAGATTTGTGTGGGACCACCTCTGAGACACTACCTTTCCAATGCAAAAAGAATTATCGAAATCGGTTGACGTGGTCCAAAGTTATGCGGTAACATACATTAAACAAGTAAGAAGGTCTAAGTTCGGGCGGAGCCGAACATTAAATACCCGGCGCAAGTATTAAATATATGTTTTTTCACCCTTCCGAAACCTTCCGCTAGATGGTAAGCCGAGGTGTATCAATTTTGAGTAAATTAGCGTCCTTCAATTTCGAAATATTGAAGTTTCAAGCATTTCTTAAATTTACCGTTATATGAGAATCGGCCGTTATTTTAGTCCGATTTCAATAATTTTCAACGTTTTGCTTACACGTGGCAAGTACAATAACCATACCGAGTTTGGTACAAATTGGTAGAACGGTTACCGATATACTTATATGTGATCATAAGTGGGCGGTGCCACGCCCATTTTCCAAAATTTTACCATAAACGTATTTCTTGGTAAAGAATTGTTGCAAGCATCAATTTTGAATAAATTAGCTTCAATATTTAATGATTTATCGAAGATTTTGTATTTCTCTAAATTACCGTTATATGGGATGTGGGCGTGGTTATTGTCCGATTTTAAAAATTTTCGGCCATTTGGTATGCTGTACCAGGACCAACAACTGTGCCAAGTTTGGAAGAAATTGGTGTAGCGGTTACCAAGATATACACATGTAACCATAAGTGGGCGTGGCTACGCCCATTTTCCAAAAATTTATAATATTCTTATTTTTCGTCTAAAAATTATTGTAAATATCAATTTTGAGTGAATAATCTTCAGTAGTTACTAAAATATCGCAGTTTTCGTATTTCTGAAAATTACCGTTATATGGGAAGTAGGCGTGGTTATTGAGCGATTTTAAAAATTTTCGGCCATTTGGTATGTTATGCGAAGGCCAACAACTGTGCCAAGTTTGGAAGAAATTGGTGCAGCGGTTACCAAGATATACACATGTAACCATAAGTGGGCGTGGCTACGCCCATTTTCCAAAAATTTATAATATTCTTATTTTTCGTCTAAAAATTATTGTAAATATCAATTTTGAGTGAATTATCTTCAGTAGTTACTAAAATATCGCAGTTTTCGTATTTCTGAAAATTACCGTTATATGGGAAGTGGGCGTGGTTATTGACCGATTTTAAAAATTTTCGGCCATTTGGTATGTTATGCGAAGGCCAACAACTGTGCCAAGTTTGGAAGAAATTGGTGCAGCGGTTACCAAGATATACACATGTAACCATAAGTGGGCGTGGCTACGCCCATTTTCCAAAAATTTATAATATTCTTATTTTTCGTCTAAAAATTATTGTAAATATCAATTTTGAGTGAATTATCTTCAGTAGTTACTAAAATATCGCAGTTTTCGTATTTCTGGAAATTACCGTTATATGGGAAGTGGGCGTGGTTAAAGTCCGATTTCGCCCATTTTCAATACCAACCTACCTTGGATTAAGGGAAACCTACATACCAAATTTCGTTGAGATATCTCAATTTTTGCTCGAGTTATCGTGTACACGGACAGACGGACAGACGGACAGACGGACAGACGGACAGACAGACAGACATGGCTTAATCGATTTCTTTTTTCATCCTGATCATTTATGTATACATTTGTCTATATCTATCTCGATTCGTTTTGGCTGTTACAAACAACCGTTATGTGAACAAAATTAATATAATAATATATAATATAATAAATAAATAAATAAAAAATATTCCGACGAACTGATAACCTCCTCCTTTTTTGGAAGTCGGTTAAAAATACAATAAATGTCACAACGCTTTTACATTTTTTCCACATTTACATACGTAAATATTAACAGTTTTTTAACATTTTTTGCGCCGCATATCGTGCAAATACATATTTATCTTAGTTATATACTTATGATTTCGATAACTTTCAAGAAGCTAAGAAGGTGCTGGGTTATATTCTGTAACTAACAAAAAAAATCGAAAATTTCTTCTTTTTCACAACAACGAAACGCGGAACGCAAATCAAATGCTTACACTTCCTTCCATTTATAAAATTACTTTTAAATCACTCATATCCACGTGCAAAATCACCACACACAATTGCTTTCAATTAACTCTACACTCCGATTGGAAATAACGACTATACACAGGGCAACAACCACAACTGAACGATAACGGCGATGTGATTACCACCATAGAGGCGCACGAATTGCAACCAGAAGAGGCTGAAGAAATAGATAATGAAAACGCCGCTATTATACACGATGATCAACAGCCTCTGACCGGATTCGGTGGCGCAGCACACAGCGCTTCAATGGCCTCATCATTCAGCACCGCCGCACATGTGTACTCCGAAACCATTTCTGTGGACAGATGACACTCGATTAGCCAGAACGATAACAACAACTCTGTGGTTATCGTTCTGGTGGATAACAAACCCAGTTCGATGATCTGTAAGGAAGGTGCCATCGACGTAATCAGCATCGGCGGCAATGTAGTGCATACAACTAATACGTTCGGGGGAGGTGGGAGCACAGCGCACCATCACAATTCAATCGGCGGTAATAACTCGATGAATGGCCACCATACGCTTCAACACCGGCGAAAGTCACAGCTGATCACATTCAGCGCATCATCGTGTGATATTAAAAATAGCCTCAGTCACGAGATTATACTGGTCAATAGTAACACCAACAGCAATAAAAGCAGCAATAGTAATAGCAGTGGTGGTAATAGTGTGAATGCCGCCGCCAATGGTGGGGCTACTGGCGGAAGTGGGCCACGCGGCAGCATTGTAGGAAGCATCAGCAATGGCAGTGGCGCTATTATAATTGGCAATGGCAGCTGCGGTAGTAGCAGTGCTGGTGGCGGTAATGTACGACTCAGTTTCGCCGAGGAAGATATCATGATTGTAGCACATGCTGCTGCGGGCGATGGCTCAGCATCCGTTTCTGGTTCAGGCAGCGGTGGCTCCGGTTCAGGCAATGATGGTGACCTAGAGGATGATGTATTTCGACGCCGTTCACTTGATGTGGACGAAACAGAGGACGATGGCCTTTTTGACGATGTATATGGCACCCACATTGATGTGGCTCTTAATGCGAATGATGATAGCGGCGGCGGCAGCTACGAGGATTCGCACGCAATGCATAGTTCCCTGGCGGGTAGTAATCGCAATAGTTTAGAAAAGGATGATGATGACATCGATGCGGACGTGATCAGCACAGACGTCAGCTGTTATGATCAATTTCTGGGCAGCAGTTGCAACACACGTAATGACGAGGACGAAATTGCGACTCTGGTTGGTGAAGGCGATAACTATACGAAATTATGTATAACAGATGTGAAGGGTACAACCGCTTTAAATGGTGTTGTTAGTGGTGGTGTTGGTGAAAACGGTGGCATCATATACGCCAATCCGTTTATGGGTTTGTAGAATATCTAAATATGCTAATGCTTGTTGTTTACTATAGTTTGTGTAGTAAATTATTTGGTATGTTTGTTCGTATTTAGTTAATTAATTTTATTGTTTATAAAACATTGATGCCTACAAATTGGTTACTACTTTTATTACACACAAATAACTACAATTCTTAAATCGGCTTCAGAATATAGCACTTCAGTTTACATATGTATTCTTCAATTTAACCGTTCTTATCTACAAAAAGTGAATTCCTCTCTTGAACTTGGCATGTTTTTAAAGTATCTCTATTTAAAAATATTTGCCAAATAAATGTGAAAATTGTGATTTTGAAGCTGAGGACTCTTCCCCTCTTTAATCAAAAGAATTCTTGAAGTTTAAGAGGAATGAACGCGATAGATAAAACTTTGAAGCTTCGTGTGACATTTCTAACTTTCAATCTCCTCCAAACGTTTCCGGTTTACAGGATTTAAGCTTAGTATCCAGCTCTTAAGAAAACGGTCAAGAAAAAATTGCCATTATTTCGCGTGTGTGTCCAAGGAATTTTGACATTTTTTATACCTCACAGCCTGTTGCCTCACTCTTTCCTCAAGAAATAATGGAACGGGCATATATTTATGTTGCAAACCTGGGTTGCCTTGGCTCTTTTTTCACAAAAAACTTTAGAAAACCGTAGTAGAAAGCGTACTAAATTTCTGAAGAACTGCGTACTGCCTTAAGGAAATTTGACTCAAGAATATTTCTAGCCATTTCTTGTACGTCATTTTATATGGAGTTTTTGCTTTTCTTAAGAGCTGGATACTAAGCTTTAGTCAGAACTTACAGGAAGTCATTTCTATAGACCGAAAAGTCGAAAAAAGGGTCATTGACGAAAAAAAGGTCACCATATTTCTTGCTTATATACACTAATAAAAGAAGTCTAAGGTCTTTACTCTACTATAATATGTTGTAGATAATAAACAGGGTTGCAAACATACACGGAAACGGAGAAGTATTGCATTTCCTTTAAAAGTGTTAAGTGATTTTTTTCGTAACTAAATGAGGAAATATTTTTTAATAGCATGGTTTTGTTAATATTTCCTAAATTATAAATAAAAAAAGGAAAAAGTCGCACATAATTTTGGAAAAGGGTCAAAACATCGAAATTTTCAAAAAGTCGGGTAAAAGTGAATAGGCTCTTTAAAAGGGCCAAATTGTCCCTTTAGTCGCACAAAACTTCAACACTGGTGCCGACCAGTGCTCTCTGATCATACTTATGTGTGCATTTTGAGCATATGTGTGCATTCGAATCAGGGATGAAAAATGGAAATTTCAGATTGCACCTAATATCATAAAATAAATGTACCTAAATGAGACAGATTGTACCTAAAAAAAGTTACATCATTCATTTGTAGTTTTTTTATAAATTTTATTTAAAATAGAAATACAAAAGATGGATGTGCTTTAAACATGATGAGGTTTTTTTTTAACTGAGCCTATATCTATAGACTATAGTCTAATGGAAATCGGAGAAGCGTTGTTTTCGCTTAATTTTGACTACTGAAAAATATTGGCGAGAAAGACAGAAAACACAACACGAAGAATACTTCTGTATCCAGCTTTTTATAAAACAACAGGAAAAGTCTGCTAATTTATCCGAGAAAATAATCAAACTTCGAAATCATTTTAAATATATTTCAAGAAATCAAAAGCGAATATGGGTCAAATAGCAATAGCTCTCATCTGAAGAAAATATGAAATTCGGAAACATCCTAGACACTGAACTGTATGGGCGAATAAAGGCTGGTTTTCATTATGCCATATTTTGACAACCAAATTTGTTGACATATTTTGACACAACTTTCTTTCCTTTATCCAACATACAAATAGCCACTTGAACAGCGCATGTACACGCCTGAGGGCCTATTCTGATCTAAATCAATCAAAAGACCATTTTTTAGTCTCATTTGACAATTTGTTAATAGAAAAAAGTTACAAATTTGAGGATAGCTAAGTAAAGTGTTAATTTTTCGTAGTGGCTGCTCTAAATGCAATGTAAGATGTTTAAGATAATACATAATATGACTTTTTTAAATTCTTCCTTTTGACTTTTCTTTAGAATTGTTTATTCTTCAAAGTGAAAGCGAAGCTTCTCCCGTGTAAATATATTAGGGCGGTAATGGAAAAAAAAAAAAAAAACTAAAAATGCATCTGATCAAAAGATGATTGTACCTAGTGTACCTTTAAGTCATCAAACGTCGGAAAAAGGTACAATTGTATCTACTTTTTCATCCCTGATTCGAATAGCGGCAGCTGAGCGGTGCATTAACGCACATAGTCTCACTTATTGAACCCTTTGACTGGGTTAGTATGCCAACCACTGCAGTGAAAATCTAAACCAGTTAGAAAAAATACTAGTTCATTAACTCGAGTTCGAAGAACTTAAAAGTTCAGCGACATCTGCCTTTGAATTGCCAAACCCAACAAGCCAAGGCCGACAATAGATTATTATAAATCATTTGAAAGGCCTATTTCTCCTCTTCACAGATCATATTCGATCTTTGAAATCCAATCAAAAATAGTCATTTAAATACTCATAAATCTACAAAATCCTATTTTCTAACCTAAATCCACAGGTCACGACCTCTAAATAAGCTTTAAAAAATGTATAAAAATAGGCAATAATATTTCTCATAAAAACGAATAAAGTTAGGGGGTAGGGTCTTTAAATTCCAAAAAATAGCATTTTCGATGTGCACCCTAATGTACAGTCTACATTAAACACAATAGTCGATGCATAGAAACAAATACATCAATATATATCGGAAGCATCGATGTTTCCGATGCATCGTTATTTTTTCTGCATCCCTACTAAAGAAATTGTTGCAACTATTAACTGGGAGTAAATTAGCGTCCTCAGTTATTAAAATATCGAGAGTTTTCGTATTTAGGAATTTTACCGATTTGAATAATTTTCAACGAATTTCTTTTTCATACTAAGGGTTTTAAGGGCAAAAAGTTTTTGAGAAATTGATAAATCGGTTGCCGAGATACACATTTGTGGTCAGAAAAAAACGCAAACGTCAAGGCTGTGAAGCTGTGTTTTTCTGTGATCTGTTTAAATTTTGTGTTTTATAAAGCTGTTTACGCTTAATAAAGAAAAAAATTAAAAAAAGTGTTTCCTGTAATTTTGATTAATTTAACTTGATATTCTTAATTGCATGTGCCGAGTATTTTGTTTCATATAATATATTGTTGTTGTACAATTGTTTTTGTTTGTGCCCATTGATTTTGCTATGTTTGTCCTTTTGTCATTTCTGCTGTTTCATCTTTGTCACAGCTGTTTGCGTTGTGTTTATTAGGTGTCAAATATACAGTGCATTTAAAACTGTTCGCTACATAGCTTTCCAACTGATATTTACCAGCTGATTGGTTCACTGATTAATACATCGTTTTCAAAACTGTTCTGCGTTTTTGCTTCTAAAACCTAAAAAGAATATAATTTTAAACATGTCGTGTATTTACACCAATTGCCACGTTAAAAGCGACTCCTATGTGTCATGCTGGCTCTGCGATGGGATTG